ATCCAGCTTCCAATCAGCAGCCCTGAGATACACACAGTTGTAAGATGCAGATAGGCACAGATCGTCAGGAGTCCCCATACATATACTTGTAAATGTTTACCAGGGATGATGGGACTCTGAAGCAGCTGTTTGGGGTTTGTTTCCACACCAGCTACATAAATAAGCGGTAAATAACCTAGCTGCCAGTCATTAAAGCCGAAAAATAAAATTATGTCCACCTTTATTTCATTTGGACCATCTTACACTAAATCAGTGGCATTAGGATGCCCTGGGAATTGCCCTTGAACCAGATCTCCACAATGATTTATTGATTTGGTCAGACAGACAATTATACTCCCCAAATAAATCAAATATTGGCAAAACACTATAACATTTAACTGATTTAACATAAATCAGTCCCCAGTGCAAAGATAAGATGTTTTCCCATCTTAGGTTTTAATAGTTATGGGTCGGTTATGACCTTGTATACATATAACTACAAAAAGAACCAGCGGACTAGCTATGACCTCCATAATAATCCCGTTACTCTGTTCAGCTCCCCACAGCTGACGGATGCTGGGCCTGCAGCCACATCTCTTCCCCCTCGCAGCTCACCTGACAGCCCGGTTGGATGCTCTCGGTGGGATACGGTAAACGTTCACTTCGGGTTTAATGCACAGAACTGACTCGTAGTCAAGCTGACCCTCGGACGCCATCTTGACTGTTACACGGTTCGTCCCGGTGGTGGTTGTTGTGCTGGCGGTGACGGCGGTTGTCCGTTCAGAGTTAACGGCGGCGTACACGTAATATCCGGTGTAGCTGCGCACAGCAATTTAAGGCGACCCTGCGCTCTGCCACCGTAGCACGGTCTGCAAAGATGGGCAAAATGATGTCACCGGAAAGAGCAAAATATTAATTCATAAATACGCACTTTACTTTTTTTTTTTTTAAGAATAAGATTAATGACAAAATAACACAAGAAAGGAAAATAAACACACTCACCAATTTGGTTCAAAATACAAAATAACTAACATTACAACAACGTCTACTATAAAAAAACAAACTTACAAACCCAAATTTGAATATGTACATCATTTTTATTACATAACAAATTCCCATTTATTTGTGTCAGATAATTTTAACACAAACCTTTCAAAAGATCTTACGTGATGCATTCTCATTTGTATAATGAAGCTGTTTATTCAAAATACATAATCATCAGGTTCATGTATTTAAAAATTCATAAAGTATACCTACTAAAAATTTATAATAAAGAAAGCATGTATTTAATATCTATAAAGATTATTGTAATTCAAACATAACTGTTGTGTATTTAAAAAAAAAATACACCTCATATTATTTTTGAGTAAGCATACTTTTTCTTTTTACTTTTTTTACTTTACTTTACTACTTATTTTTATGGTGACTTTTTACACTCTACTCCTTACATTTTTACACAAATATCTGAACTTTCTACTCCTTACATTTTTAAAAATTGGCTCGTTACTTTAGTTTTGAATCATTTCAATGGAGTTACCATTATTATTTTTCACGTCATTGTTACAGCCCACAAGGCCCAGGGCCGTAACATCATCAATACTAAATTCAATCTAATTGGATGGGAATCTACGTTGCATTTGACGCACCACTACAAGATGAATCGACAGATTCGGCGGTATTCATTCCCGGCAAATCATTGCAGCTTGGTGGCGGTGGCGTTAGCATAGTAGCATGGACGACGAGATGATTGAAAATGAACACAACGGAGATCTAGTCCTATTGGCAGACATCCATTTAAAATGTAGGCAACGGCATGAAAAAAGTGGTTTCTACTTTTACTTTTATACTTTAAGTAAATTTACAAGCCTGTACTTTGTTACTTTTACTTGAGTAAAGAAGTTTAATCAGTACTTCCACTTTTACCAGAGTATTTTTTAACACAAGTAACTGTACTTTTACTCAAGTACGGAAAGTGAGTACTTTTGCCATCTCTGTCATTAAGCCAATCATATCAGCAGTAGCAGCTGTAACAGATAAATCAAACCCTTACCAAATCCAGGTGGGAGGAACGTGCAAACATCCTCCCATCCATAAAGGCAAAAATCACATCCTTTTGCTCATTTTTCATAAAGAAATAGAGGCTATTTAGGCTGAAGCGACTTCTTGATGATGCATTGAAGCCATACTTGTCACTGCGTTTCATTGGTCGTAAACATTTCTCCTATGAGGTTACTGAATCAGTTGGCTTCTGGTAAGATATATTTTCAGGAGTTTGTGAATTCATAAATCTCATGACAATTCATCTTAGCTGCAAGGTAAAATATTCTGTGCCCCCATGAAAAATCACTGACTCCAGCCAGGGCCCCCGGGTAAAGTTGATCTACAGGTGCTGGTCATAAAATTAGAATATCATGAAAAAGTAGATTGATTTCAGTAATTCCATTTAAAAAGTGAAACTTGTATATTATATTCATACATTACATACAAACTCATATATTTCAGATGTTTATTTTGTTTAATTTTGATGATTACAAATGACAACAAATGAAAATCTCAAATTCATCATATCAGAAAATTAGAATATTACTGAAGACCAATAAAAACAAAGGATTTATAGAAATGTTGGCCAACTGAAAAGTATGAACATGAAAAGTATGAGCATGTACAGCACTCAGTATTTAGTTGGGCCTCCTTTGGCCTGTATTACTGCAGCAATGCGGCGTGGCATGGAGTCGATCAGTCTGTGGCACTGCTCAGGTGTTATGATAGCCCAGGTTGCTCTAATAGTGGCTTTTAGCTCTTCTGAATTGTTGGGTCTGGTGTATTGCATCTTCTTCTTCACAATACCCCATAGATTTTCTATGGGGTTAAGGTCAGGAGAGTTTGCTGGCCAATTAAGAACAGGGATACCATGGTCCTTCAACCAGGTACTGGTAGCTTTGGCACTGTGTGCAGGTGCCAAGTCCTGTTGGAAAATGAAATCTGCATCTCCAAAAAGTTGGTCAGCTGCAGGAAGCATGAAGTGCTCTAAAACTTCCTGGTATGTGGCTGCGTTGACCCTGGACCTCAGAAAACACAATGGACCAACACCAGCAGATGACATGGCACCCCAAACCATCACTGACTGTGGAAACTTTACACTGGACTTCAAGCAACGTGGATGAAGTGCCTCTCTTCTTTTCCTCCAGACTCTGGGACCTTGATTTCCAAAGGAAATGCAAAATTTACTTTCATCAGAGAACATGACTTTGGACCACTCACCAGCAGTCCAGTCCTGTTTCTCTTTAGCCCAGGCAAGACGCTTCTGACGCTGTCTGTGGTTCAAGAGTGGCTTGACACAAGGAATGCGACAGCAGAAACCCATGTCTTTCATACGTCTGTGTGTGGTGGTTCTTGAAGCACTCACTCCAGCTGCAGTCCACTCTTTGTGAATCTCCCCCACATTTTTGAATGGGTTTTGTTTCACAATCCTCTCCAGGGTGCGGTTATCTCTCTTGCTTGTACACTTTTTTCGACCACATCTTTTCCTTCCCTTCGCCTCTCTATTAATGTGCTTGGACACTGAGCTCTGTGAACAGCCAGCCTCTTTAGCGATGACCTTTTGTGTCTTGCCCTCCTTGTGCAAGGTGTCGATGGTCGTCTTTTGGACAACTGTCAAGTCAGCAGTCTTCCCCATGATTGTGTAGCCTATAGAACTAGACTGAAAGACCATTTAAAGGCTTTTGCAGGTGGTTTGAGTTAATTAGCTGATTAGAGTGTGGCACCAGGGGCCATCAATTTTGAACCTTTTCACAATATTCTAATTTTCTGATATGATGAATTTGAGATTTTCATTTGTTGTCATTTGTAATCATCAAAATTAAACAAAATAAACATCTGAAATATATGAGTTTGTATGTAATGTATGAATATAATATACAAGTTTCACTTTTTAAATGGAATTACTGAAATCAATCTACTTTTTCATGATATTCTAATTTTATGACCAGCACCTGTAGAACCACCTCTGGTTATTAGGAACTGATTAAAAGGAGCAATAGTAATTAATTCTATGCCGCTTTTAAAATTAAAGAGTTCCATATTCCAAAATAACCTTTATATACAGCAAACTAACCTGATTAAACACAAAGGACTGTTTTTAAACAATTATTTGATTTAATAGGCTACACAGTAGTGAGGATTGTATCTGTGTTGTCATGCAGTAAGAAGGTTCTGAATCCAATTCTTTGCCCAGGGTTTTTCTGCATGGGGAAGGCATGCTCTCCTTTTATATGGGTGGGTTCCGTTCGGGTACTTCAACTTCCTCCCACAGTCCAAAAACATGTCTGTTGCGTTAATTGGTGTCTCTTAATTAGCTGTGAGAATGTGTGTGCATGGTTGTGTGTCTTTCTGTTGCCCTGTGATTGAATGGTGACCTGTCCAGGGTGTAAACCACATTTTTTCACTAGACTGCCAGAGATAGGCACTGTTCCTAACATGCCTCTTAGGGACAAGCAGAAGACGAATGGAGTTCATTTTAAGGACAGAAATATGTTATTCAGACCAACTTAGCTTTCTGTGAAAAGCTGATGTTATGAGCCGTAGCAGAAACATCAGATGGCAGTGAAGCTTTTTAAATCACTGTAAAAGAGACAAAAGCCTGAACATTTTTTGATTCTGATTTTGATTTTTTGATTTGATTTTTCATTTTAAATCAGTGAATACCATTTTTTTTTTATTTAAAAACTTTGACTAGGTCACACTTTAAAGTTTTCTTGTTGGAGTTTTAGATTCAATCAAAACAGCTTCTTATTCCTGTTGGTGCTGCTCTGAAATAAAAAAAGAAGAAAACATGACCTTGTTATTGCAAACACAACCATAACTGTTTATTCTAATTTATCTATGGTACATATTTAATATTTCGTATTTTGAATCATCCTGGACCAAATAAAAGGTAAAACCTTTGCAGGAATTGATTGAAAAATAAGACCAAGATAGGTGCAGAGCAGCAAACACACAACTGCCTCTTTTTTTTTGTTTGTTATTATTTTATTTTTACATTTTCATTTAGCCATAGAAAAAGCAAGCAGAAGCTACCCGACATCAGCCTTGCTACATCGTTAAAGCATTTTTTTTTCTCAGTTTTTTTCAGTTCTCAGTTTTGCAGTTTTCTGTAGTGATAGACCAACACTGACGTCTAATTCTTAGGTTCTGAAAGTACCAGAGGGGCTCAGGGAAATACTTTACAGTCCAAGAAGCCTGAAGGCATCTCTTAAATCTTCTGTCTCACAGGGCTGTGAAATAAGAACAGAGCATTAAAGTTTAAACTTTATATGTGGATTTGTTAGTTATAGACACTGTGTGTTAAAGTAGAACCTGAAGAATGCGGTTGAGTTTCCTTGATAGGCGGATGTAGTTTTGATGCAGCCCATCCCAAGCCTTGAACTTGCTTTGATTCCGGGCAACAAAGGTCTGCCAGCAATAGAAGTAATCTGAAGGAGTTTTGCGACAAAAAAATTATCCCAAGAATAGATATGATGACATGAAATGTAGAGTCAAATATTTTTCCACGTTTCTCTGAAATTATCCCTCACCTTTGTAACTCATGACTGTGATGTGCACGCCAGCTTTTTTCAGTGTTCTCAAACCCTCTCTTTCACGGCTGTCCTCCAAGTCGCAGAAATAAAGCCGGGACACAAAGATTCTGAGGCGCAGGTTTGGGGTCTGGTTGAGGAACTGAGCGAGTCGGAAGGAGCAGTTTGCACAGGGAGACCAGGAGCAAAACCAGGTGATGGAGTAGCTGACTTTTTTCTCACCGGTGACTCCATAACCCCACAGGCCGGGGCACAAAGTTCCCAGGTAGCGTAGAAACAACACCTGCAGAAACACAGTGGAATAAAAAAAGATAATTCAACAGTTACATTATTTATAATAAAGGTGACCAGTCCCCCCATAAATGCAGTTTTAATTTATTTTTGTTAATGGAGGCCTATTCCTACATTCTGTAATTCAACAAACTATCTTAAAAACAAAGCTTTAAGCCTTTTCATTCTTACAATAAATTAAAACAATTAACCGCTACATAGCTTTTCTTTCATGTAGCGTCTGCAGCTGATTGCGGTCACATTGTCATTGCAATTTGGAACAAAATAATATTATTCATACATTTTACTAAAGCAAATTTTAAAATGTTCTCAACTTTTAGAGCATATTCAATTTGACATAATCAAGCTTAACTTGAGCCATTTTCTCTGTCACCACCTTGAAATAATTCTTCGAAACAAATGTATAAAATAACTGCTGCCTGACACAATCCTTTTTTGTGTCATAAAAGAGACTATACATTAACTTCTTTAAAAAGAAAGAAGAAAAATGTGATGCAGTCAAAAAAACACTAATGGTATTAGATTGTTCTGATTTACAAAGATAATTTGCATATATAATTAGCTCACAATCTTACTGTTTTGTTTTTATTTGCCAACACATTTATCATCTGCTAATTTATTTCTCTACCCATCAAAAACTTGGTATCCCTGCCTCAAGCTGACCTGTCTACTGAGCCTTCAACATTGGCTGCAGTGTTGATGCAGCGTGAGAGTGGTTGTAATTTAAAAACATTAAAAGGCCGTCAAAAAGCAGACAGACGTTTGTTTATCTATAGGTTGACACTAATCTTTTGTAAAGAATGAGAAAATCAAAATGATAAATATTTATTGTTATATTAGCAGCTCATTTTTTTTACTTCTACATCCCTCACACAGGCCTCTAAATGCAGACACAATGTGAATGCGCGTTCAGTGCCATGTGGGATGGGCAGTTCCAGTTCCTAAACTAGAACTTTTAGAGGTGTTCTTGGTCCAGCATACCTGAAATAAGTCATAAGATGGTTAAGAAGACTGTGTAGAAATATCCTGCATGCTGAGGAGGTAATTCAGCCAAAAGATTCAGACCCAGAATGAATTTAAAAGTTTGCACTGTGACTTTCAAGCAGAGAGATGGAGAATGGGGACCTGTGTGCTCACAGGAATGGGCGAAAGAAGTACATAGAAGTACAAATGTAAGCCTCTACTTGTCTTTTATCATTTCTGTATTGACTTAAGTAAAAACATTTTTTTTGTTTAAGAATACAGTTTTCTATTAAAATGAAAGGTAATATAGGTGCTTATAAAAAGACGAAATATTATAGCCCAAGGAAGGTTGGAGAGTAGGCTCTGGCATCCATTCAGTGAAAGCTGCCTGTCTTCCAAGTTCTTGTCCACAGCTGCATGTACAGGTGCTGGTCATAAAATTAGAATATCATGAAAAAGTAGATTGATTTCAGTAATTCCATTTAAAAAGTGAAACTTGTATATTATATTCATACATTACATACAAACTCATATATTTCAGATGTTTATTTTGTTTAATTCTGATGATTACAAATGACAACAAATGAAAATCTCAAATTCATCATATCAGAAAATTAGAATATTACTGAAGACCAATAAAAACAAAGGATTTATAGAAATGTTGGCCAACTGAAAAGTATGAACATGAAAAGTATGAGCATGTACAGCACTCAGTATTTAGTTGGGCCTCCTTTGGCCTGTATTACTGCAGCAATGCGGCGTGGCATGGAGTCGATCAGTCTGTGGCACTGCTCAGGTGTTATGATAGCCCAGGTTGCTCTAATAGTGGCTTTTAGCTCTTCTGAATTGTTGGGTCTGGTGTATTGCATCTTCTTCTTCACAATACCCCATAGATTTTCTATGGGGTTAAGGTCAGGAGAGTTTGCTGGCCAATTAAGAACAGGGATACCATGGTCCTTCAACCAGGTACTGGTAGCTTTGGCACTGTGTGCAGGTGCCAAGTCCTGTTGGAAAATGAAATCTGCATCTCCAAAAAGTTGGTCAGCTGCAGGAAGCATGAAGTGCTCTAAAACTTCCTGGTATGTGGCTGCGTTGACCCTGGACCTCAGAAAACACAATGGACCAACACCAGCAGATGACATGGCACCCCAAACCATCACTGACTGTGGAAACTTTACACTGGACTTCAAGCAACGTGGATGAAGTGCCTCTCTTCTTTTCCTCCAAACTCTGGGACCTTGATTTCCAAAGGAAATGCAAAATTTACTTTCATCAGAGAACATGACTTTGGACCACTCACCAGCAGTCCAGTCCTGTTTCTCTTTAGCCCAGGCAAGACGCTTCTGACGCTGTCTGTGGTTCAAGAGTGGCTTGACACAAGGAATGCGACAGCAGAAACCCATGTCTTTCATACGTCTGTGTGTGGTGGTTCTTGAAGCACTCACTCCAGCTGCAGTCCACTCTTTGTGAATCTCCCCCACATTTTTGAATGGGTTTTGTTTCACAATCCTCTCCAGGGTGCGGTTATCTCTCTTGCTTGTACACTTTTTTCGACCACATCTTTTCCTTCCCTTCGCCTCTCTATTAATGTGCTTGGACACTGAGCTCTGTGAACAGCCAGCCTCTTTAGCGATGACCTTTTGTGTCTTGCCCTCCTTGTGCAAGGTGTCGATGGTCGTCTTTTGGACAACTGTCAAGTCAGCAGTCTTCCCCATGATTGTGTAGCCTATAGAACTAGACTGAAAGACCATTTAAAGGCTTTTGCAGGTGGTTTGAGTTAATTAGCTGATTAGAGTGTGGCACCAGGGGCCATCAATTTTGAACCTTTTCACAATATTCTAATTTTCTGATATGATGAATTTGAGATTTTCATTTGTTGTCATTTGTAATCATCAAAATTAAACAAAATAAACATCTGAAATATATGAGTTTGTATGTAATGTATGAATATAATATACAAGTTTCACTTTTTAAATGGAATTACTGAAATCAATCTACTTTTTCATGATATTCTAATTTTATGACCAGCACCTGTATGGCTGGATATGTTGAATCAAAATACTAACTTTACATCTACCTAAAGATACGCTATTGGACCTAGAGGCCTGTTTCTTGTAGCATCTTGGCAGAATAGGAAAGACAAGGGAACATACACTTAAAAATAAACCAGATGTGTTTTCATCTTTTTAAGTGAAGTAATGGCTGCAAGAAAATAGCCACTAAATCCAGCTAAACTTACCCTACTGGGTAACTTACTTAACTTTCTTACTCATACATTCAAAGCAAAAAGAAAATGTTCCCTCCTACCATCACAAACATAAACACGTTATATTATTATGAACATAATGTATAAATGACATGTCAGGTATAAATATGTCAGGTTTTTAGTTAATCAATTTCAACCCTGTTGTATAATCAAATCTGACAAAATGATCATCATTATCTATGGCCGCTATGCTTGAGTGCAACTGTAAATATTCCTTTATGCTTTTAACTCTTTTATTATTTCTTATTTTATGTATTTTAACCACACATTCCTATATTTCAGCAGTTTGGTCCTTATCTGTTGTTTTTAAAGTGCTTTATAAATAAAGTTGGTTTGGCTTGTAGCTGTGGACCTGTTTTTCAGAACTTTTGGTTTTTGCAAAGGTAGAATATCTTAAACATTGAAAAAATATGACATTTTAAATAAATGTTGTAGAACTCTGGAGAAATATTTCAATTTGAGATTATGCTGCGGTGATAAAAGTTTGATTTATTGTTTCACATCTTGCTGATGAATGGGTCCAGCCCTGGATACCCAACTGCTTCATTTTGCAATACACCTGAACAACATCTTCCCTTTCTTACCTCCACATGGCAGCCATTGCGGTTGCGGAGATGTCCAAAGTCAAAGGATATGGAGTCTGGGCCCACTCGCCTCTTCACCACAAAGCAGAGATATGTCTCACACCGACCTCTTGCCCAGCGCATGTTTTTGTAATGATAGATGAACTTTTTTTTGGGTAACAGTGCCCTACGAAAAATAGGAAGAAAATCTGCTTTTTTTACCTGATGCAATGCCTGTCAGGATTAACACCAAAAAAGATTTTCTTATATAAATGACTCATCATGTCATTAAAAAAAAAAAAAAAAAAAAAAAACGTTACAGTAATTTACAGAAATGTTATTACAGTACAATCCACTGCAAGATCTGGACCATAATGAATCACTGAGAGTAGTTTCTTATTCAAGCTTTAATCTAAGAAGCTAAAGCAAGGCAGGCATGTAAAATCTGTGGTTAACTAAATATGTGTGATGGGCAATGAGACAACAGCTAAGATTCACTAAGAACACTTTTTCTTACTCTCAGTTTCACAACTTTTAGTGAAACCAAGACAGTTGTTTAGCAATTATTAATACTGAAACCTTGATTGTGCTCTATTTAAGAATCAGAAAATCAGCATCAAAGTGTGATCTTGTCATAAATGCATTGAAAAAGTATTAAAATCTCCTCAATTATTTTTCCCTTTAAATGTGTGCAAACGCTAAATGACGAAACCGAGATAAAAATGCAAAGTATAAAAAAAAGAATTCGTTTATTTTGCTCACCTGTCTAGCTTTGTAATCATTTCAAAAGCCGCGCTTTGCTTTGTCACTTGTCAGGCGTGGGTATTAAATGGAGGTAAATGAGAAAGAGTGAAAGTGTGTGTGTTGGTGTGTGTGTGTGCACTGAGGGGGTTAAAAGGAGGGAACTGAGAACCTATACCTCCAAACATAAACATCCTGCATAAAGCAAAGGCGGCCTCTGGTTGGTTGGAGACATTTTTCAAAGTAAGTTTGGGGGGATGTGATACAGAAGAAATGGTTACATACCAGTGCCTTACTGAGAAATCAGACATCTATTAAGTAATTGTAGCTTTAATTCATTTATTTTAAAGAAGCATGTTAGTTTATGTGGCATCTTCATCTAATGTGTGTCCAAAAGACTTTATTGATTTGTTAATACTTAAGACCAATACGATTTTTTTTTTTATAAATGGCCATATTCTAGCAGATGCAATCATGTAGAAGGCTGCCGGCATTGAGCATCAAGGTTCCCACAGTTTTTAGGATAAATAGGATAAGCCATATAAAGTCACTGCTAAAAAAGCTGGTTGTCCTATGATTATTTTATCCAAACTCATTGATGGAAAATGTTGTGGAAGTAAAAAGGAAATATGCAGCGCAAGCCAAGATGATACGACCAGTCTGATGCAAACGGGGCTTAATATATCCTCACACTGTCAAAGCTACCAGTACCTGTTCTACTGACTATTTTATGACAAGTTTGATATTTTCTATATCCTCCATAGAAAATCTGTTGGGTTTTGTGATGATGAAGTCGAGAAACACCAGAGCCATTTTTACAGATAAGCTGAAGGCCACTATCACCTTGGCCTCTTTACACTGAAACAGAGCCATGTACTCAGTGCATCCTTATCACTCTGCTGTGGTTTAGATATTAATGTATTAGAAGCCTTGATCAAGTATTGATGCATAGACTGTTGAGAGAATGGATATAGTTTAGAGCCGACCAAATTCCTGTACTTACAATAAAACATTTTAATTGTTCTTCTGTAATTTTCGAATCTTTTGAGAATTTGGATTCTGGGTTCCAGCAGTTATGAGCTTCAATCTTAAAACTTTGCATGAAAAAAACCCTTTGAAAATGTTAATAATCTAAACAATATAAAGATTCTATTTTTTTTTTAAATAATATCTCTAAAAGAAATAAACCTTTTACCATACACATCTTGTTTATACTGCAAGATAAAAAGAATTTCATTCGGACACATTCCAGATTTTATTGAATAATCCCTGAGACCACACGTTGGAAGAGTGTTTGACGTTTTTTGTAGACTCTGGTTTCTTACAAATGTCAGAAAATGAGCCAACTCCCTGAAAAATTTTCCAAACCCCGGCCACTGACTTCCACCCTAAGGTTTTCCTAGATCACAGAGAGGGAAAAAAAAAAGAAAAATCCTCACCTTGATCTGTAACTTAGCCCTCCTGCCATTAAAATTTTCCACCTAGCTTGCAACCCCTGACACACACACACACACACAAGTCTCCCCAGACTGATCTGGGTTTTCCCAAACTGTGTCAGGCCGAGTAGCAGGGTTGTAATCAGCCCTCCTCATCCTGCGTGTCTGCTGCACCGGCCATTCGTCCAGCTGACCAGCTGCAAATTGCCTTTGAACCTTCAAATGTTTTCACCAGCCCAGTACTACACTGTCTATTATTGCTCTTGTGTTTCTTATGCTCAGTCTGTTTTAGATCCTTAGCCCTTCATTCACTCGTTGGCACAGCATGCTGGCATCCCGCTTTCCCATGACTCCCCTCACCCTCTTGTGCACTCTGTGGTTTGGGGAATTCACCGTTTCCCAGGGTGGCTGTTTTTGGAGCTCATCTGTGCGGGCATGTCATTAACACTGTCTATATGTTATACATCATCTGGAACAAATTTATCCAATTTATCCAGCGATTGTGTGGTGCCCCCAAATTTAGAATGATTCATGCATGTGCGTCTGCCTGCTCTCAGCGACCTCACATCTTATTGCATTACTCTGACGATGCATGTTTCCTAATGTTTCCGCACATTAAACTTGTGTGCATTGGTACCTTTTCAACTTCAAGGAGCTCATTTAATGCCAGACTGGATGTAAACCCACTTCCCACCCAGCTCTGAGGTCCACCGCAATGGACCAAGGTCATCTCTCTGTCACACGTGAACGCTCGCGTGCACCTCCAACCCCACTCATGCACTTTTTTTTTCAGGAGTGCTCCAGGATGGCTAGACATATGCATTAACCTGAATTGAGAAGAGGAGAAAGCGAGTGTAAGAAATGCCAAGTCATAGTTTCCGAAACCCACCCGCCCACACCCTGCATGCACACACAACCACACACACACCTACACACGCACACACACAGCCATACCGTGCAGACGCATTTGACCACAGTTACAAACAGACTTTCTTTCCAGTGTGTGAACTCACATCTGTTTCCTGACAACAATAATAGCTACAGATCAGGCGGGTAGAGGCACAGCTTACAGGTGTCTGCAGTTTGAAAATAAATGAGGAAACAACAAGAAGTATCAAAAAGCTAAAAACAGCAGATATATAACAAATAAATGGGTTATAATTGCAACTAAAATTAGTCAACCCTCGAATACAAATTGGTAAAAAAAAAATGTAAAAAATGCTCAGGGGTTTGCAATACATAAATTGTTCAAGAACAATTTAATTTAATCTTAATCAACACCAAATCCCATCTTCTATAATTGCTGCACCTCAGAATTATTCAGCCCAGAACCAATGGCTTCATGGATCAGTTAAAAAGACCTTAAATGTAGTGGTAATGTTTAATTGGATGTCGTAATGTCAAGACAGTTCAGTAAATACATGATTTCCTTGCAAAAAAAGGGATTTAAGAGAGATTTAAAGGTGTAGCGTTCAAGTTTTAAGTTGGAGGAACTGTGGTTAAACTGTGGTAGCAGAAAGAGGAAGTAATCAGTAACTAAAGACTTTGTCAAACAGTCTCAGCTAACTATAGAACTTATGCAGCAATACCTGCTGGCAGGGGTCAGTAGTGTTTGAGTTTTCATAGTAAGGTACAACATGAAGAGATATACGCCTTAAAATACCAGAATGGGACCACTACCCAGAAGCTGAATAATTCAGCTTGAATTTACAGCTATCAAAATAAGCCATCCAGGTTTTGGGATGTGGTTCCACGGGGTTCTGAAATAAAAGTTGATCTTCTCAGCTGTATGCCTGCAAGCAGAGGAACAGGACAGAGAATAACAACATAATTGCTGTATAGTGAAGCATGGTGTGTCTTTTTTTTTCTCGCACAGAGAACATTTGGAAATAAACCCAATCTGGAGAAAATGTCACAGAACAACCTCTGGAGTCACTGGATCCCCAAACAGGACAATGATCTACGAAGGCTGGGTTCAAAGACCAATTCTAGACAAAAGCACAGCGGTCATGACGTCATGACGTAGGGTTCAATTCGGTTGACTTGAACCTTATTGAGAATCTCTGGTGTGCAAAAATTTGGTTTAAGCTTACAAGCCAAAGAACACCAAGGGACTGAATGCCTTTACGCATGCAGGGAGAATTAGGATTCTTTAGAAGCGTTGCCAGAAGCTGGTGTCATCCATAAATCCCTTTTGCAGCAGGTCATGATGGCAAATGGGAGCTGTAAGAAACACTTAAGCTGCTTGACATTAAAATGCTCATTAAAAGGTTAATTCTGAGATAACAACAGTTATAAGGAGCCCCTATCCTCCCAAATACCACGCCCATCAACCCACCACCAGTCAGAGTTCCTAAAGATCCTAAAGTTTCTAAAGAAAGCCTAGGAGCACGGAATAATAGAGAAGATGATGGTCGGAGCTGACCAATGGGCTGCTACAGAACACTTTGGAAACCTTTTTTCCCCTAATTACATTTCCCTAATGACAAAGGTATGCTTTTCAGGCAGAGCATTTTCAGCACACATTTGCTAAGAAGTGCAGAGGTAATTATAGAGGTGAAAGGTTTTTTTTTCATTAGTGAACATAATACACAGGCTTCAGGACACATATGACTTACTTGTTTATGTTTATAAAGTAAATTAAGCATAATTAGGGACCTTTTAGGCATGATGGAGCATGCATGAGTTTGCATTTCACTTCAAACCTATTTTTGTCTCCACACCAGGTGTTACATTCCACCTTCTTATACATGTCTGCATTGTACAAACATCCTGTGGTGTTAAATGGTGGTGCACTGATGCTGCATTGACATTGTGTGCGGTTAGCAGGAAGGTAGATTCGCAATGAGAAAAGCATGAGGGCTGCTAACCATATTAAGGTTAGCCTCAGGCGGGGGGTGGGGTGGGTTTGCATTTTCACTCTCACAAAACTGACAGGCACTTTCAAACCACACTTATTCTTTAATAGGAGATCTTATGTATATTTTTGTAAGCTTTAATACATCTTTGAAAAATCAAGGGCTTCAGCAAAAATCCATTCGCAATTAAAATAAGGTCAGATTCTAATTGCTTTGCAAAAGTATTCATAACTCTTGAACTTTTAACTGTTTTCCTTACGTTACAATTAGCTCTAATGAATTGAAATATTTTTGTGTGTGTGTGTGTGTCTCATAAACCAGCATATTGCAATCCACGATTGTGAGGTAAAGGTAAATTTTTTTTACAAATTGATGATAGAAAAGTATGCACTTGCATTTATATTAAACCCCCCTGAATGTTTAACTTTTGGGTGTGTTTCTAATAGGTTTGTATGTACAGATATTAAAATCATTTTCTTTTCTGCAAATTGGCTCAAACTCATTTATATGCTCCTCAATCTCAAGTCTGTTGCATCCTTCCAGGATTGGTTTGATTTAGCTCCCTCATCCTCTTACCTACTCAGATTAGCTTGTCTCCGTTAGCTTAAGAACAGCATCTCTACAGCATGATGCTGCCACCACATTGAATACCATTAACAAGATTAAGAAGGATAATTCAAAACCAGACCTATAACCAGACCTATATTAAGACCTATAAATGAAAAGGGAGCATCTGCTGTTATTGCATAGTCACAATTTGTGTACGTGAAGGTGAGCAGTATCAGACGAGAAGCGCCAAGATAAAAGATGAATTCTGCACATTCACATAAACCACACATACTTCCTCTACAGTATCTGTACAAACACCTACACATCTTTACAGTTTCAAGTCACACAAATGCTTTATGTTTCATCGTTACACTCTATACAGACACAAGGATACAAGTTTAAGAAATAGGAATAATTTATTTGATCAAACGTGTAGCAGTACATAACGTCTTAAACTTAATAAGGTCTGTGGTAGATGAATAAATAAAGAGAAACAGTTGCATCATTAAAAAATCAAATAACT